CATTTTGAATTTTAAACGAATTCCAATTATCAAGTGTCATTTCTCATGTATTCCTTTACCAAATTTATTCAAAATGGTGTCCTAATGCATACTAAACAATTTTTAGAAGCATGTCATCCACTTAACGCTCAGATCTTAGGAAAAATGGTATCTAAATCATACTCTTGATTCTCCCTCAATTATTGATATGATATAGGGATTAAAAAGTTCAGATCTATAGACAATAACGTTCTGAGCAACTTCTATGCACGATACTCGACCAAAAAACTGCACCAAACTCTTCAGATTTGAAGTTGGAAAACGTTTTCTTCAATTTTATATCCAAGAAATCCTTAGCCCTCTCTTTCTTTTCCCACTTTCTTTTCTTTCTTCCCTCTTCATTTGGAGAATAGTAACTCATCAATTACCTAGTTAGATTAAACACAATAAATGACCCTTAATAAAATTTATCAATTTAAAAGATAAAAGAAAAAATTAGGAAGGCTGGTTACCTTCCTTGAATGTTATATAAAATATTTTTACTTTGTCCACTATTAAAATATATTTTTAAATTTTAAAATAACAAAACATGTGTTTAAAAATAATTTTTATCTATCATAAAATATTATATTTAAAAAAACAAATCTAGTTATCCAAAAGTTATCTCAAGAGATTATTTTGAAAAGTAAAGCATACAACTAATTTGTTGAATTTGTTAGGTGGTGGGTGGTTGCCATACTTATTAATTTGATAAATACATCTATACATACATATAATATATATATATACATCTCTATATGTGTGTGTGGGTGTATGTATGATATTGAGAATCATCAATAAAATTAACGATAAAATTAAAATATCGATAAATATTTTTGAAAAAAACTCATATATTAAAAGAAATTATTATTTTTTTTATTAATATATGAGCTCTTTTTACTTTTAAATGAGTCTAAATACTCGTTATACATGCTACCATTGGTTACATTTTGTTTTCATTTTTTAATAATAATTCATTTAGATAATAGAAATATTGATAATTTTCTGTTTGTGAATGGATATAAAGTACTAACGAAAAGGTTGACGTTGGGCCATGGACGTTAATGTAATAATACCCTCATCTATATATATATATATATATATAGATAGAAAAATTTTGTATGGAAAGGCACAATTGGAAGCGTGAAAATGTGGAGACTTAGGTTGGGAGAAGGAGCAAATGATGCGTACTTATTCAGCTCCAACAACTTTGTGGGAAGACAAACATGGGACTTCGAGCCTGATGAAGGAACCTCTTTTGGAAATTTCAGATTCTCTTTAAATTTTATATAAATCATTTCAAATATTTATCTATTATAAAGTTGTATTCCTATGGAACATAATAATATATACATGGCTTTATTCCATTTTTGGGTATGTATCTCGGTAGAGGATGGCCCGTGGACTTTCCTAAGCTTTGTAATCCATTGGATTATAAGACTTAGGAAAGTCCCTAGGCCATCCTTGGAGATGCAGACTCGAAAACGAGCTAAAATGAAAAAATGGTATCATAACAAGATACTGAGCGGTGTGCCAATGAGAACGTTGGGCCCTCAAGGAGGTGGATTGTAAGATCCTCCATTGGTTGGAGAGGAGAATAAAACATTATTTATAAAGGTATGAAAACCTCTCAAATAACTCACTAATGGTTTGTTGTAGTTCCATAATGAATATTGTTTTTTTTTTTTTGAAAGACTAAGCAATATTATTGTTAGAATGTTTTACAATATATATATATATAAAGAAATAAGTACTGACAATACAACCATTTTAAGATTTACTCGATCTCAAAATTGTCATAGGTAGTTTATTTTCTCTTGAACTTAGAATAAAATAATATTACTTTAGTTATAAGAATTATTATTTGTCTTTGACCAACTTTAAAGTAAATATGGATTTAAGTAAGTGTTTGAAGTCACGTACTAAATAAGAGTGGGTTGGAATAAATGTTCCATTATTTTCAACTCATTTATTTAAGAGAAACAAATAGGAATAGGTTGGAAATGGAGTTACTTCCCTCCGCTGGTACTCTTCTTTTTCTATTCATTTTATCTTATATAATTCTACCGCAATATTACCCTTTTCTTTTCAAGTATTTTCGTGGTATATTACGGGACATCTCCGCATCATATTCTCAGAAGAGCATCGAAAGGAAATCCTTTGCTGTGCATATTGTCATCAGAATGAAGATGGTGGATGGGGATTGCACATTGTGGGACAAAGTTGTATGCTTTGTACTGTTTTTAACTATATTCAATTGCGTTTATTGGGAGAAGAACTTGACAAGAATGAGTATTGTAGAGCTCGAAAATGGATTCTAGATCATGGAGGTGCTATTTATATACCTTCTTGGGGAAAGATTTGGTTATCGGTTAGTACTGTATATATATGTCTATACTATTTTATTTGAAACAATGTAACTCAAATTTATGAAACTAAACTTATAATTTAACTATGTAGATTCTGAGAGTTTACGAGTGGGAGGGAGCAAACCCTATGCCTCCCGAGTTTTGGCTATTAGGAAAATTACTTCCTTTCATTCCTCGAACTTTGTTTTGCTATTCGAGATTAACACTTCTTCCTATGTCGTATTTATTTGGGAAGCGATTCGTTGGACCTCTCACCCCTCTCATTCTTCAATTACGCCAAGAAATCTATACTCAACCTTACAATCACATTAAATGGAATCCAACACGCCATTATTGTGCAAAGGTACATTTCTAACCTATTCAATCCTCCCTACAACAATGCACGAGTAAAGAAAATCAATATCAATCTTTTCAAAATGTTTCAGATTTGTACGTGTAGAAATTGATCCATTGATCCATTTCTATTTCATGAACTAGAGACTTTAATTACTTTGATTGAATTGGACATGATGATGCAGGAAGACATGCTTTGAACGTTCGTTATTTTAGAAGCTAGCATGGGATAGTGTTCAATACCTTGGAGAACCCATTCTTAATAGTTTGGCCTTTAAAAAGATAAGAAATAGAGCCCTTCAAATAGTTAAATGTCATATTGATTATGAAGATCATAAACCGTCACTGCATTACAATTGGATGTGTTGAAATGTAAATACAATTAAGAAACTTTTTACTAAAATAGTTAAAACAGTCCAAAGTCAAAATTAGATTCTATTTCTAATAATATATTTAGAATATCATAAATATCTTAATATTTCGAATTTGAACATCCATCCTTTCTACTAATATCTTATCTTCAAATAAAACAGAATCAAATCATTCAAAATACTCTTCTTGACATGATGTAGAAATTGGAAACTAAAAAAATATATGGAAACAAATGGCGTCCAATAGGATTTGAACTATCCATTAGACAATGGACGCTTTTCATTCCAATTTTTTTTTTTCGTATTTTCACCTCTTGTTCGTAAAAAAAAAAAAAGACTATTGAGAGGGAAATTTGTTTGAGGGGAGGATTGTTGAGGACTATTGGGAGGGAGTCCTACATTGGCTAAGTAAGGGAATGATCATGGTCTATAAGTAAGGAACACATCTCCATTTGTGTTAGGCTTTTGGGGAACCAAAAGTAAAGCCATGAGAGTCTATGCTCAAAGCGGACAATATCATACTATTGTGGAGGTCTTTGGTTCCTAACATGGTATTAGAACCACACTTTGATCCACCACCTCATACCTAAGGTGGGTGGTTTCACAAGAGTTGTCAAGACCAGCATCCGCTCGAGAAGTGAGCATCAGCTGAACGTGGACGTAGAGAAGTGAAGCTGTAGGAAGATCAGAGAAGTGTCACTGTAGGAAGATCAGAGAAGTGTCAAGGCAGCAATCGCCACATAAAGGTGGTGAGTTGAAGAGTTGGCCGAAGTGTACTGCCAACACGGGGATGTGTTACAAGCTCCCAAACATTGCTACTGTGTAAGGGTTGGTGCCATGATGAGTGAATGTCGTGGTTGGCTTGTGAGCCTCCTGAGTGGTGTACTGTTGTGTGTGACTCAGAGAATACGATGAGTGAGGCTAAGGTGGCCACATGTGGGCCGCTCTCCCCTTATCCTACGCTAGGATATGCCGAAGCTAGTTAGTTTGTCATGATCTATCTAATGAATCTCAGGTCGAGTCCGAAAAAAGGGCGAGGGAGGCCCAAAGGGAAGGTTGTTTTGCCCTGTTTATGTTGCGAGTCTTGGAGACCGAGGGAAGGTTTGTCAATAGGAAAGCTCATAAGTAGTGCATAGTTTCTGTATTCATTCTAAAACACGTATAGGTCGATCAACAATTAGTTTGAAGTCGTATCGTCATCCAAGATGATGTCGAAATTAAGTGCAGGAGAGCGTCACAATCTATGTAGTGATTGTTCCCCCAAGTAAGTCATCGAAGATGATGAGTAGTTTAAGCGGGGAGAATGTCACAACCTAACTATGAAGAGAGTAGTTAAACTAAGTCAACAAATATCATATATATATATATATATTCTTTTATCTTCAATTTAAGTTTTATCTTCTTGCGTTTGGAGTCAATATTGATGTTTATTGAAAAAATCTAACATAGTTTGGGATGAAACTTATGATGTTCCAAATCCTGCAACTCTAAAGGGATAGTTTTAGACCCAGAGATTTAAATATCACTTTGATTCCTACCCTTTCAGTTTAGTTCATTTTTAGTTTTTATATTTTTAAAAGTGTACATTTTGAGACACAATTAACTTTTAAAAGAGACCACAATGGATATTTTGAAAGTACAACCAAAATGAACCAAACTTGACGATACCAACTTGAAAATATTGAAAGTTGGTATATAAACCAAAATGAACCAAAACAAAAGTTCAGACACCAAAATAGTATACTCATAGTAATACAAAATGAGAACATAAACTAGGCCAAAAATACTTGATAGAGAGCCTGCATCTAGAAAAAGCACCAAGTACTCTCAATTACAGCCTAGAAGTTTTGAGAACAAGAAAAGAAACAGACCACCAATATGGATCAAGGTAGAGTTAATTATGCAATCAGAAGCAAATCTAATGGTTAAGAAAAATGTAATAAAGTGGTATTACATAACCAAGTCATGACGCCAGAGAGAAGTGTTAACAAATTTCAGAATGCATAAAGAAAGATTAGAAACAAATCCTCTGCATGAGATTTAGGCGATAATCTAAACCCACGACACAATGATCCGAAGTCCAAGCTCACGTCGTTGTAGTAGCTGAATCCCAGGGCATACTGAGAGACCTTTCCTTCACTATCAGGGGGATTGAAGAACATAATCTGGAAATTAAGCATTTGGAAATATACACATCTCTCTCAGCTTAAAACCTTCCCATAATTTGACACTATTCTTGTTACACCAGGATTTATCACATATGAATGGGAACAACAAAAACTATCAACGGTAGTACACAAAAAATGTTTAAGAGTGTTCTGAGACTCTGCAAGGATGTATATGACCCGGGGAAGACAAAAGCTAATACCCCCCAAACATTGTTAGAAAGTTGTTGGTCTGATGAAAAAAGATAGGACAGATCCAAGTACCATTTTCTTGCCTCTAAATCTAAAGAACATACAGTGTCGAGTCTCAGGTCTGGACTAAACCAGCCAATGAAAGAGGTGCTTTATCGTCAAGGTTGTCGCTTGGAACGTGGAGCAATTGCAAGAAGTATTTTCTTTCTAGGTCCCTGAAATTACACATCATCACCAGGGTAACTATAGACACAACAAAATAAAATGTAGAAATGTAACAAATAAATAAGCGTAGCGTTCGTAAGTATCGTGTCCGATAATAATAATAATTCAGAAGAACATGAAACGGATAGCTACAGCGAATTTCTAGCTGATGATGAGTAGATTGAAGGGGGAAAAACAGAAAAACTCTGGTAAATGTTAATAGAAAATGTTCATCAAAGCTAGTGACTCAACCACTCCTAGATCTGTTAAGTTTTGTCTAAACAAAATGTTATCATTACTGGGAAATAGTGACTCAACCACTCCTAGATCTGTTAAGTTTTGTCTAAACAAAATGTTATCATTACTGGGAAATAGTGACTCAACCACACATTGATGTTTAGTAACTTACTTTGAAATTCTCAGAAACTTTGTAACAGGATAATTCCCAAGGAAATTCCTTTGAAAAATGCCTCTAGCTATCTAAATTAGATAATAAGTGAAGATGAAAAAGGAAAAAAAATATTTACTTTGATGGACACAAAACTATATTATTTAAAATTTAAAATTTTGATACTTCATATAACTTTAATTGGATAGTCCAACAAAAGGTGTAGAAGAAACAGCAAGCATAAACACAGATTTCAGAATTCCATGTTAAACAACTTTGCACACCAACACGACTTTCTAAACCGAAACTAAACAATTTTGCATCCCAATCACAAACTTTCCTAACTTACACTAAACAAACGCCCCTTAAATTTCACCTAAATTCAATGGTACATCGCCACCACTTTAAAGGGTTGTATATTTTTCTTCATTCACTTTTTTATATATATTTTTTATAGTTACTAATAAACAAAACTATAGTATTTTGGGTTTCATTTTTTAATATTATTGAAAAAAATTATAAACATAGTGTGTGCCTGATGTGTCCGTGTATATATTTTTACATCGGCGTACTGCCATGTCTGTGCTTTATAGCCTACGTCTCTCCCCAAGAGTACATGCATGCCACCCCTGTTGCGGCCATCATTCTTTTGCCCTACTTTCCTTTTTTCTTTTTTTTTTTTGTCTGGCATTTTAGGAATAGATTTGACCATTAGGAAACATTGTTAGATATGGACCAAAGTTCAGCACTATTTTATAGGCAGGCAATTTTTTTATTATTATTTTTCCTTTTTATTTTCAAGTGAGCGCCACCGAGATTAATAACACTTCAAAAATCAAGAAGAAGAAGATTTGCACCAAGCTAACTTTCACAATCGATACCGAGGGTATCAACCTAATAATTAGAATGTTTTTGCAGGACAAAGAAGAATTCAAGCCCCAAGAGGATTACAATGGAGAGGAGGAGGGATGAAAGAGGTTTAGGAGGCATCAAACTTAGAATTCCCAAGTTCCTGAAAGTTCAATTCTGAGGAGCTTGTGGATTGGGAAAGGGGAGTTGAAATTGCGTTTATTTGCAATAACATTACTGATGATAAGAAAGTTATTTTAGCCATCACTCATATCCAAGATTATGAAACTAGGGGCTGGGATAAAATAATGTCTACGAGAAGAAGGTAAAACGAAGGTCCATAGAGTCATGGCTTGAACTCAAACAGCTAAATGAGCAAAAGGTTTGTGCCTAGACGCTATCGTAGAGAACTGACTCAAAGCCTCCGAAGGCTTTACCAAGGATCCAATTGTGTGGAGTTATTACAATGAATAGATGCACTCATAACACGCTTGGAGATATATAGGATATGGAGTCCACAATAGCAAGATTCTTGGATGGACTCTATGAGGACATATACAACAAGGTATATATGTATCCTTCTTATGACATTGAGGATCTCCTTCACATAGCCGTCAAAATTTAGTCACAAATCAAGAAGTCGTCAAGGTACACAAAATCTTCTCTTAAAACTACTTTGCCCTAGAAAGAAGAGAGTTCCACTAGTGTGAGTCTTAGTTGAAATCTAAAGTTGATAGGAGAAAACCTAAGGGTGAGATTTCCAATGGTTAGGAGAAAGCCAAGACACCTAATAGAAATAGGCATAAATGTTGGAAGTGTCAAAACGAAGGAAAAAATAGGACATGTTGGTAATGAATGCCCTAAAAAAAGAAACATGGTCCTTAGGGAGAGAGCTGTGATTGGCGATGGGGAGGATGAGAGAGAGGAAGTTAAAAACTTAGATGTAGAAGAAGAAGCTTTAGACAGTCATGAAGAGGATCCACTTCAATGACACTAGTTAATAGAAAAACCTTCAATACCAAAGATAAGAATAGAACTTGAAGAAAACCAAAGGGAAATTCTTTCACACTAGAGGAACAGTCAGTTCTACACCATAGAGCATTGCCATAAATAGTGGGAGTTGTACTAATATGTAGTAAGTTCCACCTTGTAGACCGCTTGAAAACAACCACTAAGCTTCATCCTAAATTTTACAAGTTAAAATGGCATGACCATAGTGAGGAGGTTAAAGTTAAAAAGCAAGTCCTAGTCACTTCCTGTATGGATAAGTATTTTTATGAAGTAATTGGTGATGTTGCACCAATGAGTGCAGGAATATACTCTTAGGAAGCAATTGGCAATTTAATAAAAAAAAATGAAGCATGATTGTTGCCCTTAGGGGTGATCATCAGTCGGTTGCCATTGGTTTTGGGCTCAAACCGATGATCACCAACATGTCAATTTTGGAGGGCTTCGGTACACCGACTGACTGATAGTCAGTTGATTTTTATCGTTTGTGAATTGGAAAACATCAAAAAAAAAAAAAAAAAAAAAAAAAAAAAAAAAAAAAAAAAAAAAAAAAAAAAA